GGGTAGCCAGGTGATGGGTATTAAGGAGGGCACATGTTGTGATGAGCACTGGGTGTTATACTCAACTAATGAATCGTTGACACTACATCAAAAACTAATGATGTACTATACTATACAGTGGCTAACTGAACATAATAAAAAAATTGTTAATTTTATGATATGTAATCCTACAAAAACAATGGAAAGACTCACGGGCTGAAATGCTTTTTGGGTCTTCTGCCTGAGACATAATTCAATGAACGGATTGTTGCCATTCAAAAGTGACCCTCAAAATTGTTTCACCCCTTGCTCAGGGCTTCCTAATATGCTTGTGCCCTTTGTCTGTTGCAATGATGTCAACATGAATGTCTTTGTTTAATTAATAGGAGGTTTATTACTTTGAGGGAGAGTCACAGGTGTGTTGCTGGTTTTGGGCTTGCTTGTATTTTCAACGTGAACAGGTTTTGCTGTTGCACAACCCAACATAGCACCCTCATGTTCCTATCTGCAGTGCAGGGCAATATATTTTTCTTGCACCATCCTATTAAGTAGGAGCTGTACTCTGGTTATCAGTCTGAGGAGATTGAGACAGTTTTACATTACTGCATCAGTATTGAAAGTTTTTGTCTTTCAGCGTCATGTGGAAAGTTGATATTCTCCTACATCTTGGTGGTCTGTAGTCTATTCTCCCCTCTCCTTAGGTTTATTATTATTACTATGACTCTCATCGTAAATACTGTTGTCGTTATTGTTGTTAATAGCCAGGATACTAATTATTACAGCAATTAAGATTTATCCTTGTTGCTGCAGCTGCTGTTAGAAAATCTTGAATCGACTTGCTCCACCCAGGAAGGGTGTCTGGTTTACTGAAGAGGATGATGGAGATTTCCCAAAAATACACACAAATGAACAGAGGCTTCCAGGTCACTCCTGGTGCCCTTTATAGATATGAGCATCCACAAATATTTCCAACTTTCCTTCCAGGGTCCTGAAGTGGCCATTTTGACAGGGGAGGCTTGGTGAGGGCATTTTGGCCTGCCTGAGCCTCTGGGAAGTCGCCTCTGGGAAATATTATGAGTCATCTCTGGGAACCAGTAACCACTTGTGCCTGTCTGCAAGACCCAGGGAAGCCATCCATGGCCCACCAGTCTCAACGAAAATTGTCCTAAGACCACCCCAGACCCAGGAATAGATGGAACAAGCATGGGAGGCCAGAGGGGGGGTCCCCACCCTCTAGAGTCTCTGCAGTATTTCTAGGTATGCCCCAGAACCCGGGAACTGCTGTTCCTGCCTTCTTGTGTAGCCCCATACTGGAAGGGAAGTACCATGCACAACAAGGAAGAACCAATTCAGGTGCCAACCAACAGCCCCAGGCCCAAAAGCACAATCTCTTTAATCCTGACAGCAGATGGCAGAAAGTGCAATAGGGATGTGGGGGCTGAGAAAGTGCTAGAGCCTTAATGTTAACCATGGTGGGGGGGGGCTTTGGAGGATGGAGAGTGGGGAGCTGTCCTTGCATGTGGCCATATTTCAAGGAGACCCATCTCCCTGGAAGACGCACACACATACTCACTCACACACATACATGAACTAATATTAAGAGTGTCCCTAAATGACAGATGGTTTTCCAGGTATATTTTCACATCCTATTACTTTTTCCTCATTAGGACATTATTCATGGGAAGAATGATATGATTCCAGGGGCACCTGGGTGGCTCAGTTGTTAAGCGTCTGCCTTCGGCTCAGGTCATGATCCCAGGGTCCTGGGATGGAGCCCCACATTGGGCTCTCTGCTTGGCAGGAAGACTGCTTCTCCCTCCCCCACTCCCCCTGCTTGTGTTCCCTCTCTCGCTGTGTCTCTCTCTGTCAAATAAATAAAATCTTAAAAAAAAAAAAAAAGAATGATATGATTCCAGGTTTGCTTTAAAGAATCCAGCTTCCTTCCCCCACCTACCCACCCACCAAGCTGAGTTTGGAATGAGTTATATAATACTGCTAATTGTTAGTAACTTTTGAAACTATCTTAAGGGTACAGAGTTTCATTTTATTTTCTCTGATTTGGGGAATGTTTCAAATAAACAAAGAAATATATAAAGCATTTGTGCATTACTTAGAAAATATGTTTATACTAAATTATTTTAAATCCACTGCTGGTTTCATTTTGGTTACTTCAATTAATACTTGATCCATACACCCATAAGTAAGATTGGGTTATATATTTTCCTTCAGCACCATCCAGATGTTCCAGAACCATTTTAGAGTTTTCTCCCACTTTTCCCAAATGGGCAATGATATGAGTGAAAGGTAATGGTTCTATGTTCTAGGAAGACTAATCTACAAATATTTTTTAAAGTCAAATTTCCCGGTGACATTTTTTTATTTTACTTTTTTTTACTTTAAGTTTTTAATTTTTTTAAGATTTTTATTTATTTATTTGAGAGAGAGAATGTGAGAGAGATCAGGAGCAAGGGGGAAGGGTAGAGGGAGAAGGAGACACCTTGCTGAGCCGGGAGCCAGATGTGGGACTCGATCCCAGGACCCTGGGATCATGACCTGAGCTGAAGGCAGACGCTTAACCAGCTGAGCCACCCAGGCACCCTTAAGTTTTTAATTTCAGTTAGGTAACATACAGTAGTTACATTAGTTTCAGGTGTAAAATATAGTGATTCAACACTTCCATACATCACCCTGGGCTCATCACAACAAGTGCACTCCTTAATCCCCATTACCTATTTAAACTATCCCTGAACGCACCCCCACCCCATGACATTTTTAAAGATGACATTTTCTAAAGGAAAGTATCCTAAAAGGGGTTTATTTGCTTCAGTTGGTTTCGCTTCCATGATCCTCTTTTCTAGAGCCGTTGGCAAGCCCTCACTCTCAGTTCATGGTGGAGGAAGAGGCAGGAACCTGGGCAGGGTTCTAAGTCCTACTGGTTAGGAGCAAAACTAGGGATCAGAGAGGGTCCTCTGCCCACAGGCCCTACTGCTTTTGGGCATCCCACATGGCTTCACATGCCTCATCTTATCCATGTCTGAGTCTCAGGATCACCACAACCAAAAACATCCCTGTCTCAATCCCAGTGGGTCTCTGATGGGGTGTCAGGAAGGAGGAGGGTCTTCAGCCAATACTAGGTTGAAGCGACTCCTGCTCTCTGGGAAACCACTAAACTCTGCTGTATCCTGCCACCCCCCATTCTTGGCCTGGACACTTCAGAAGAGTTTTCACTTGAACTTGGAGATCGCTGGTCCCCTTGGCCCCTCCATCAAAACACCCAATGACCAGTCCCTCTTTCATTATGATTCCTTTCATTGGGGGTACAAATGTAAAGGAAAACATTCTAAAAATAGGGGAAGACACTTCATACGTAGTCAAGTGAGAGCCATCCCCCAAAATGAGGTAGGTACTTGAAATAAGTTTGCAAAGAGGCTGGATGGAGAAGGGAGGTTTGGGATGCCAGATCTAGGACTTTGGTTTGGGTTTCTTTGGGGGAAGGGATCCCACGTGGTTCATAGTCCTCAGGGAGTATGACAAAGTTGACAACGATCCCCTGGAATCAGACTCCTGATCTTGTTCACCCCGGGCACTGACTGAACAGCCTAGGTTGAGAGAATGGGTCAAGGATGGACTATGGAGTTCTGTGTGTGTAGGGGGAATATGGTTTCTTTTTCATTGGTGAACACAATAAAACACCACCATAGATCTGAACTGCTGCAGAGAGGGCTTGTTTCTTGACCCTCGGCTAACAGCAAGAAGGAATTTATGTGTATCCTACCCTGTGTACATACATGTGAGTAGTGTCTACCCACCCATCCACTCATCAATACAGAGACAGAGCTGTATCTGGATAAGGAACAGTCTTCATTTATATTAAGGGAAACAAAGCTTAATAGTTCATACCAGCGTTGCCATCTACAACCCACCACACATGGACCATTCTAGCCGTCTCCTCACTTGGCTCTTGCCTCCCACTCCACCTGCGAGGGCACCTGTCAGGGTCTCATCCGGGACACAGGAATCTGGGCGCTTCCTGCGCTGCACCCTGCTGACCGGCAGGGGGCGCGCCGACCCGCCTTTTCTGACGCGGCGTCTTAGGCCCGCGTGGAACGCATGCGCGTCGCGCCCGTTGCCCTCGACGCCGCGTCTGCACGAGAGCCGGAGCGCCGTTACCTCGTGACTGACGGAGGCGGCGACGCTGCGCATAACTAGGGCCGGCGTCTTCGGTAAGTGACATCCCTGTGCGGCCCGGACCGCTGAGAGGAGGCTTTTCCCCGCTACTAAGGGCTGTTTTTTAATAAATAGAAAGAAACTCGTTTTCCGCCCTGCCCCGCGTGCCTTACTCCTTCCCGTGTAGTGTTTCACCAGGACTTACTTTACAGGAGTGCCCGTTCATTGAGGGGCTTCGGGGGCGAAATCGTAGCGTGCTGTGGTCATTTCTGTGGCTTCGGGATTGTTTTTTGGGGGGGAAACCCCAGTGCAGCTTCGGTGAGAGAACCGCGTGAGCGGTGAGGAAGGGACGGGACGAAATGTTGGGGTGTTCAGGCGAACCCGGGGCGCGGGAAGGGCCCGGGGAGGACACATCCGGCCGCGGGCGGAAGGGGCCCTGCGTGCGCCGCTGCTGCGCCCGCTTGTGTGCGTTGCGGTGGGTGGTTTGATCAGAAAGTGAGAGTAGTTGAGAAAGTGCTGGAAAATAGAAAGGTAGGTGTGTTAAAACTCACAGCTGTATTTTATTTACATCCAAATCGGAATGTATTATAATTTCACTTCCCAGGCGTTTAAGGGAAGTTGCTGTGTCTCTAATGGGTTTAGAATGATGCTCCTCAGCGCGTCTCCTTTTCAGACTGAAGTATTAGCATGTTCTTCGCGTGACGCGGTGACAGCCGGAGATAATTGTGAAGAAAGGTCAGGCCACTGAAAGGTCGTCTTCTGTAGGACCTCCCGGTGACAGGGGTTCTCAAATCTAGAACACTTCCAAATTTATGGAATGTTCATAAAAACTCGGGGAAGGAAAATACGGATTTCGAAAGGAGCAGTTGTACTCAAAATGAAAATACATTTCTTCAGAATCGTTTATTCTCCTTTATTGCAGAAATACCTGAGACGTCTAAATTCTAAGTTTTACTTTTTAAAAAATCAGTTATAAAACACATTCTGCCTATACTCAAATCCACTTCTACATTGTGGCTCAGTTATCATGAGAGGTCCTAATATTTTTTTATATAATTTTTTAAACAGATTTATTTTTTTTTAAAGATTTTTATGAGGGGGGGCACAGAGGGAGAGAGACAAGCAGACTCCATGCTGAGCACAGAGCCTCATCTCACAACCCCAAGATCATGGCCTGATCCGAAACCAAGAGTCTGACGCTTAACCACCTGAGCCACCCAGGCACCCAAGAGGTCCTAATATTTTTAAACCTCTTCATTTCCAGCCCTTAAGACATACCTGAATGTCCGTGGACAGATGCAAGATGGGTTGGCTTTCTCTTCTTTTGTATTAAAACATGCGCACCACAGAACCCTCAATGTGTTCTGCTTCTTGACTCTATCATAGGTATGAGAAGAAACATCTCTTCTTCTCCCGTGCCCAGCCCCCATTTTAATTTCAGACATGTCACGATGTGTTTCTATCTGTTTTTTTTGTTTTTTTAATAAGTTCAAATCAGGCAACAGGAGACCAGCTGAAGGCTCAAAAGTGCTCTATAAAGACCGTAATTTTTGCTTTACTTTTAAAAGTGTATCTTAACCTTGTTTCACCTCATGTGGGGTGGCGCTCCATAGAAAGGTATTAGTCAAAAGCAGCTTCCTGAATTAGCCACTTCTCACAACAGTGTATGGATCAGCTGTGCATTCCCTGAGCCCAGGGAATGGGGAAGAATTGTCCCCCGAGTGCCAGCGACAGCCAAGAAGGGTCTGCAGAATAGCTTTAGAGGTGAAAAGGGGGCTTCTCAGGCTTGCAAAAATAGCCTGTTCTGACTAGTAAGGGGAAAACAAGGATTCACTCTGAGTTTAGGAATTTAACCAAAGACAAAGAAGTAGTTAGAGATGAGCCAAAACTAGAGCTAATTTTTTGCCTTCCTCTCAGACCTTATTTACTTAATAGAGTAACAATATATTAATTTCAGGTGTACGACATAATTTGATATTTGTATATATTGCAAAATGATCACATAGTTACAAGTTTTTTCTATAATGAGAACTTTTTTAGGGGGGAGGGGCAGAGGGAGAGAGAATATCTTAAGCAGGCTCCACCCCCCAGCACAGAGCATAATGCCACGCTTAATCTCACAACCCTGAGATCATGACCTGAGCCAAAATTAAGAGTCAGGCACTCAACTGAGTTACCCAGGCACCCCTATAATGAGAGCTTTTAAGATGTACTCTTAGTAACATCCAAGTATATAATACAAGATTTTTAACTATAGTCAACATGCTGTGTATTTCATCCCCGGGATTTATTTATTTTATAACTGCACGTTTGTGCCTTTGGTAATCTTCACCCATTTTGCTCCCCCCCCACCCCCCACCTCTAGCAACCACCAGTCTGTTCTCTGTATCTGTGGGTCTGTGTTTTGTTTTTAGATTCTACATAAAAGTATTTTTCTTTGTCTGACTGATTTCACTTAGTATAATGTACATAAGGTTCATCCACATCATCCCAGATGGCAAGATTTCCTTATTTTTATGGCTGACTAGTGTTCCATTTTGTGTATATATACCACATTTTCTTTATCCATGCATCCATCGATGGACACTAAGTTTGCTTCCATGGCTTGGCTGTTGTAAATAATGCTATAGGGGCGCCTGGGTGGCTCAGATGGTTAAGCGTCTGCCTTCGGCTCAGGTCATGATCTCCAGATCCTGGGATCAAGCCCCATGATGGGCTCCCAGCTCAGCGGAGAGTCTGCTTTTCCCTCTCCTTTTGCCTATCCCCCTGCTTGTGCTCTCTCTGTCTCTGTCTCTCTCAAATGAATAAATAAAATCTTAAAAAAAATAATGCTATAGTGAACATGAGTGTATATATATCTTTGTGAGTTAGTGTTTCTATTTCCTTTGGGTAAGTTACTCAGAAGTAGAATTGTCACACTGAAAACTGCAGCCTGAGAATATTTTGTAGGCTAAACCCACTTGAAAATATTGATCATCTTGCTGTAAATTCCCTGCAGTGCTTGCCAGAACAGGCCCAAACCCACAAAGTAATGAGGCCTTTGAATGCTTTTAGAACGCCCAACAGGATTTAAGGAATTACTCTGTTTTTCATAATTGTATCTAAATAATTAATTAGAGGGGAAATTTTTTTGTTAAACTAGTTATTCCTTGGTTATATTTATCTTGATTGACATCCAACGTAAACAGGGTCTGTCCATTGCATTGTAAATCTGATGAAGTTATCAACTATGTCAAAGTGAGTCCAAAAACAAATATATGTCTATTCTTAAAATAAATGAAATTCTGAGCTCAGGACTTTGGTGATGGCACACTCAATAACCACACAGTATCACAGGTTTTCCATCTACTTAGGTTCTGGTGAGTACTGAAGAAAAATCTCCCCAGTGAGATCCAACCTCCTTTATTTTGCCAGTGAACTTTAATTATGAAAATGACTGTTTAATATGATGGGGGCCATTTGTAATACCACATCTAAGGGTAGGTTAGGTGATGGGGACGTGGAATTTCTGTTTATTCATAATTCATAAATCACAGTCAAAGAGAACCTTGCCTTAAGATTCTGCAAGTGGTCTTTCTGCAGGTAGTCTTGTCAATAAAGAAAGGAGTAAAGATATAAATGCTTAGTGAGAAATTAGAAGAGTAATCTGAAGAAAAAAAAGTAAGGTTCTACTCAAGACAACAAGGTGAGAAGGAACAACTTAGGTAGTAGGTTTTTTTTGTTTTTTTTTTAAGATTTTATTTATTTATCTGAGACAGA